CATCAGAGTAGAACATTTATCGTATCATTAGGAGTCTGAACTTATTCAGAATGTCAAATTGGGTTGCGCAGATGATTCTAATCTCTGTGGGTACACAAATTTTCTTGAGGGTGAGGATACTTCTAACGAACGCAATGAAGCAACCATGATACGTTAGGTCAAGTATGGCTTTCTGTTGATTGCTTCTGTCAACTGAATTACTGTCACTTTATGTCCTTTATCTTTACATCTAAAGAAAATTTAAGCAAGTTATTACTGTAATTGTTCAGTTAGACAAATTGCTAATGTAGCATGTTCCATGTCCCGAAGCTAAACTAACTGGCTGACTGAGCTTCAACACATAATCTGGCACCAAAGTACAGCATTTCAAGTTGCGATAGTCCACGTAGCACACAAAAGTAGTTTATTTGTGTTCATTGATTCAGTGGTGTGTTCATTTATTTGAAAAGTGGAACTAGCCCGGACTGATGCAAACCAGTTGACTCTACAACATATATCTTTAATTGTTATTGATTGCTTCTTTTATCATGAGTCCATAAAGAACTGCAAGAATTAAACTGTTCTCTAACCTTTTACTCTTTGCGTTTTATACAAAAAAAAGGCTATCACTAAATGCTTTTCAACAAAAACTCAATTTAAATATCAGTCTCCAGCCCATTGACGGTTAATTGAGAAGTCATGGACAATGGGATCCAGAAAGCGAAAGTAAAGTGGGTGCTCACTGAAGACACTCGCTGGCGGTAGCGGTAGCGGCGGTCACGAATTGACAGAAGTTAGACTTCAAAAGTCATTGAGATTTTGATCAAGGGGGATGAACGGTTAACCAGCTTGACCTCGTAACCTGGAGATCATGAGGTTCAATCCCTGGTGGGGTCGTGGGTGTGCATTGCTGAAAAGTTGCGAACTAGGACGGAACAGCTCACCGACTTTTTTTTAACTGGTGTTGGTTGGTGACGAAATCTACACTGAGACAAATTTAAGGACAAGTTTTTCGTTAAACATTTTTCGACAATGCAGAAATGAACGACCTACTTTATATTTTTAATAGGTTAAAACTAAAAGCAATCAAATCACATACATTATTAAGAACGCCATACTATCTCTTATACTTAAGTATACTTAATAAGAGACTTACTTGTTTCGCTCCTGTCTCCCAAAGACCTTCTGCTTGTAAACGAATAGGTTTACCATCAATAGTCGTATGCTGGCCAAATGTTGTAGGTAGAATGACTCCATGATCAACTGGATGGCGACCTGCAAGCAGAAAGAAAAGAAAAACAAGACTAGTCGATCTGAAATGCGATAACATTCATATTACCACCTTTGTGTATATTATCCCTTGCTTTCCGAGTGCAACATACGGGGCTTCAGTAGCACACCTCCATTCCACTCTATTCATCACAACTCTCTTCATCTGGTTTCACGTCTACAGACGTTTCCGACATTTCGATAAAGCACACAAAAAAAATTGACGAAATGTAGTGAAACCATAAGGAACAATGAAGTATGGGAGGGAGAATAAGATTTGTGAGGATTTTCGGAATCTGGAAGATAACAGGGAATCAGTACACCTGCATTACTGTAAACGATTTCAAGCCGTCTCATGGATTGATGCCATGTTCTCATTTGATCACCAATCTCTTTCTAACTTCATCTTACTAAAATGTATGACGCTATACACTACTGATCGATTGATATGAGTAGTTGGATACCATTCACATCAACGAGTAGTGCTTGTTAGCCAGATCAAAGCGATCTAACCACAGGACATCTGTTTAGCTCATTTGGGGCCGAGGTAGTCATCAATGGCGTACCTTATGTGACTTAGCTTAGAGAATCACACCAGTTTAAACCACCCGGATTCTGGATAGCTACTTGCGAGAAGTGGTAATGTGCAGACTGTGAATCTGATTTCGTTCTACTTAAACCAAGTTCGCCCGTACAGAAAGGCGGTGGCATCGCAGGCACAACGCAGGTCTTAGCCACTTCAGTCAATGAAGAATTTCACTTACCACGGTTTTATCGTACAATTAGTATTATTAGCAATCGCGTGAGATTTATTTGGCAGCATGTGAATGCAACCACTTACTAAATATTATGGTAAAGGAGGCAAATGTGAGACTGTATACACGATGAACCAGTAAAGTTAAAGAATATACAAAGTCCTAGCTTTCTTTATAAGTCTGTACGAGAACTCCAAGTTACGCTCATCCTCAGTTTGAGCTACATATTTCCTTCATTCTCTCTTATCTCCCTAAAAGCTTTGAGTTCTATTTTACCAGTGATTATCTGTTTTCCACCCAAGCAAGCTGGAATCTTGACCCTAAAAACATTTTTTTAGTCATTCTTGGCCAAAGCAAAGACTAAATTCAGATTTATTTATCTGTTAAATTCGCAGCTTAATATAAGACACTGTGTACCACAGTATCGTACGAGGTGATCAATAACACATTTAATAATTAAAGATAAAGCATTAATTTTGTTATCATCTCGTAACCTCCCAACCGACAGCTGCTCACTGGCATATAGCGATTAACCGACGAGCTACACTGACTGGAATAAACATTCACTTGGGTAGAGTTTAGACTAGAAGTAAACTGTTTACACTATACTCCAGGGGAGGTTAGGAGCAAAGTCATACTGTTGGCGTATAGGGATATAACAGCAGTAAGATGCTTCTCTGAGAAGCATTGGTTTAAAAAAGGTCAATGCCAAAAGTTTTACACATCCCAAACTACCTTACAGTGGTAAGATTTTCAAATGGGAATAACTCTAAAACAGAACTCCATCATGGATAAGAATTTATTTTGATAAATCACACATTGTTATACAGTAATAATAACTGATGACCACGTTTCGAGCACAAACTATTGCCACTCATAATCTTATCAAGTTACTACTCACAATATCTTTCCTTCATTTATATACATGTGTGGTGGAGAGAGAGGTTGATTACTGAATCCTGACTGGTTCATCGAGTCTACACCCAACGCATGCAATAGGAATGACTATGCAAATACCAGAAATATGGAAGATATTATTACCACCAGTCAGTCAAATCAGAGGAGGATAATAAATAATCTCAAAATTCTATTTCAATTCAAGCACATCACAACATTCTAACATGTTACTTATTATAACTATAAAAACACTCGTCTTATTTCCCATTTGATTCTAATTTATCAGAGGAAACAGGCATAAAATGGACACACACAAAAAACTTGGAGGATCTGGACTTCGCCGACGATATATGTCTGATTTCCCACAAACTGGAAGATATGCAAGCGAAAAGCAACAAGCTAGCAGAAGAAGCATCAAAGATAGGACTTCAGGTGAACATAGATAAAACAGAGGTGACGAAAATTCCTGGGTAACACCACCAACAGCAACAACAACAACAGACAGCGATCAGCATAAATGTGAGAAACCTGAAAGAAACAACCTCTTTTACCTACCGATCTGGATGCATCATTTCAACTACAGGCGGAGGGAACTGACGAGGATATCAAAGCAAGAATCAGAAAAGCAAGACAAGCTTTCACTACTCTCAAGTCTGTGTGGAGGTCGACAACACTCAGCATCAAAAATAAGATCCAGATTTTCAACTCCAATGTGAAGTCAGTGCTACTATACGGATCAGAGACTTGTACTGCGCGTCATAAAGAGCATCTCCAACAAACTACAGACCTTCATTAACAGTTGTCTTCGCTCAATACTCAAGATCAGATGGCCGGCGAGAAAAGATCAGCAACAGGGAACGAACCAACCAGGAACCGATTGTGAAACAAGTAGGCAGGAAGAAATGGAGATGGATTGGCCATACTCTGAGAAAACAAACCATCAAGTGACATCACTAGACAAGCCATTGCTCGAGTGTAACCCGAAAGGGAAGCGGCGAGTTGGTCGTCAGTGCAAGGGTGACTTGGAGGAGGTTATGTGAAGAGGAGATGAAAACGTGTGGGCAGACTTGGAGCCAGGTGAAGACCCTAGCAGAGAACAGAACGCAATGGAGACGCACGGCTGAAGCCCTATGTTCCTGTAGGAATTAAAGGATACAATAATAAATAATAATCTAATTTATCAATAACACTCGTATTATTGTTTCTGAATGTACATTATCTCATATTGATTCATATTGATTTTATTCAAATATCTAGTGAACTCCACACATGTATATAAATGAAGGAAAGTAATTTGTGTGAGTGAGTAACTTGATATGGTTATGAGTGGCAATAGTTTGTGCTCGAAACGTGGTCATCAGCTAATATTACTGTACAACAACACTGTGTGACACTTTATCAAAATAAAATCTTATCCATAATGGAGTTATACTCTACTAGCACAGTGCCCAAGTTTTATACTTATATCTAAAACAGCACTTCAAACAGGTAGTATAAGATCGACCTTCAGCAGTTGTATCCTGGGCTCTGCAGTCAAGCAACACTAATGCTCAATTCTGTCTCAGGTATTCCAAGAAGAAAACCCAGTCAGTCATTTGATAACCAGTTTTATCCAACCACCTTTCATTTATTTACACAACATTATATTATGCAAAGCTTTTTTTTAGAATTAACCATAATAAAATTATAATTCAGTTTACCTGTAAACAACGAGTAAATATTTGGATAACATTCTGCAGGGAATACAGGCGCGAAGCGTTCCAAGTATGCGCCGTTTCTTTGCAGTTTTTTAAATCCGAATTCACTAGTATCTTTTTCTAAATGATTGGCTACTACATCCCATCTTAATCCATCGATTAAAATGACAAGTAATCGAGACGTGGGATTTGATAATTCATCCTCCAGAGATGTAGTTGTTGTTGTTGTTGTTGCTGTTATTGCTGTGGCTGGTTTTTCAATATTCAACAAGTGGAATAAGATACAAATATATGCGCACTTATTCATTGTGAAACTGATGAAAAGCTACAACAAAACGAAGAGAATATCAATTAAATTTTTTTGGTAATTGGAAACTACCCAACTTGAGAAAGAAGTATTTCATGTATGAATCATATTATATTTTACATTATATCACAAGTACAATTTAATTAATTCATCACTGACAGCTGAAGGTGTTAAAACACCAAGATCCGTGATCAAGTAGGTGATATAACATGGACTTGTGTAGTCAACACGAGGCATTTTCTGTTCAATGATAGAAACTCGCTGAGCTTCAACAGCAGCCCATGCTGTTTTCATCTCTGGAAAATCACACTCTTCTTTATCACTATCAGTTGGACGGAAAACACTTTCATCTCTTAAATTAGACATAGGCGATGGTGGTGATGATGATGACGATTTATATTCACTATCACACGACCACTTGAATTCATCTGGTATATGCCGTTGATCCAGGGGATAACATCGGATAAATTTAAATGATTCAGCAAGCACATAAACTGGTCTGCCGAATGAAGCGGCTGTCATTGAAATGAGAGAAGAGCCAAGCATATTCAATATCCCACCACTCTCTACAACAGCTTCAGCTCCAAGAACAACAAAGTCGACTTGTGGCATTAAATAAGCAAGAGAAGTATCCGGCACAAGGGTACATGAAATTTTCAATCTAGCTAAGGCTTTTGTCATTTTCGCTCCCAATCCACTAGGTGCACATGTTGTCACATAACAGTGAAGACGTTTTTGAGTAGTTGCAGCATATGCCAGGGCAGCAAGAACGACACGAGAGTAGGAGTGTAGGAAGATTACTGATCCATTCGGAATGTAATTGAGGAAATTCTCTGCTATTTGCTGTCTGCATGAACCAACCTGGAGTGAGAGAAAAAAGAGACTTTCAATAGTAGCAATAATAATAAGAGAAATTGGAGTAATAAAACCGGAAGACAAATAACTTCAATACCAGTTCCATCTAAGACTCTATGTACACTATCCTAAGTGGTTACACAAAAGTGGATACGTTAGAAATCGGATGAATGACAATCGTATAGTCAGTGGTAATTCGATCTTAATAAACTCTTTCTGCAAAGTTATTTGAAAGATAAAAGACAACCTGAGGAGGAGGATGTACAGGTCGTATCTCCATTCTTCGACAAGTCTTGAAACAGGCATACTTGAGATACCCTTTGATCTGGAAGCGATGTTTGACTCCGTCGACCGAGAGGTGCTGTAGCAATGTATACTGGTGAAGGAAGTGCAAAGGAAGTATATCGCACTAATTAACACACTACTGAAACTCCCGCAGTCATGTAAGAACTTATGGACAGCTGTCATCATTTGAAGTGATAACAGTCACTAGTATCCGGCAATTGTTTTTAGCATTATTCGATAAAATTAGATGCAATATTGTACCAAACGCTGAAAATTCCACACCATAACAATAGTACTGTTTTTTGGAATAAAGCAAATTATTATTTATTTACTATCTCTATCTCTGCAGGACTAGTCTATTATGACTCACAATTTAAAGATAAGAAGTGAAGTGGTTGAGCATGTTGACCGCTTCATCTATTTGGGAAGTTGCATTGCCCTGCTGAACTAATTGCTGAAATCTCAGTAAGCATATAAAAGGCTCAAGCGGCACTTGCCAACTTACATAACTCTAGAATAGAGGTGATATCTGGCTATCGATCAAAGGATTTTATGCTGTGCAGCATTTTGCTTCGTCCTCCTTTATGTCTGCAAGACATGGTTATTGAACGTGGAAGACCTAAAGAGGCTAGCCGTCTCTGACCAAATATATTTGTTCTTCATCTCCTGTGCTAGGTGGTATAATATAGTGACTGTCTGTCTGTTTTCAACATAGAACTGCATCGATGTGCAGCAGTTCAAGTCGCCACACTCCATGTGGTACACAAAGCAAGTGAAGAAAATAGAAAAAATGCAAAATAGAGACAGTAAACAGAGATACGAGCCAAAAGGAGTAATAATAACGAAGAACAATATAGTTTCATTAGAAATTTAAGTCACAAGGAGTGGATGCATCTGCACCATTGAGAACGATTTTGAACCATATTACCGATTGTCTCCAGCTATTGGTGTTCACCATCCCGAGGATCCCAACCAGCCAAGACGTCTACACCTTCCTACGTGGTTGGCTTAAACTAACTGCTGTGGATTTCATTAACTGATGAAGCCATGTTTTGGTTTGACCGCTGCCAGCTGTTTTCCAGCCTGACCCTATGTCAGCTAACATTGCCCGTTGTCGAGGAAAGTGATGACTAGGCATTTGTAACACATGTCCTAACCATCTCAGTCGATGTAGATTCACAGCCTCATCGATTGATTTCCCCTCCTTACCTTGCACTTGACACCTAACCTCAATATTGCTCACCCTATGATACCACTTCACACGGGAGATAGAACGCAGGCACCTATGATCAAAGACAGCTAACCAGTATTTTCATGTCTTCCACTCTCAATGGCCAGGTCTTACATCCATAAAGGAGGACGGAGCAGATTGATGAGCAGTACACACGCCCTTTGGTCGATAGCCAGTCGGATATCACGTCTACGCCAGAGACGGCGTAAACTGGCATATGCGAAGCTAGCCCTCTGTATCCGTGCTGAGATTTCGTCAACGATCAACCCGTTGGCACTGGCTAATGCAACTTCCCAAATAAGTGAAGTGGTCAACGTGCTCTACCACTTCCCTCCCTATTTCTAAGCTAGGAGTCAATGTAGTCCAGTCCAGTCCTGTAAGATCATCTTACATTTGGCGGGAGCGAATCGCGTGCCAAACAATCGCAGACTGCAGCTCAAGGTGTTCAGAAGACTCTGCATTTTGTCAGCGTCTTCACCTAGAAGGACTGTATCATCTGCACATTCTAAGTCAACGAGATTATTCCCTGTTGGTAACAAGTCAATCCCTGAGTCGCTGAAGTCACTTAAGGTCAAGTCCATTAGTACATCTATGATGAAATTGAAAAGAAATGGGGATAGTGGTCATCCCTGACGGACACCACTAGTTGTCACCACTTCAGATGACAACTCGCCGTAGGCCCTCACCTGGTTGCATGAGTTCGAGTAGAGTACCTTGATCAGTGCAATGTATTTTCTCGGCATTCCTTTTACAGCTAAGCATCGCCATAGTACCTCTCGGTCGACAGAATCGAATGCCGCCTTTAGGTCAAGAAATATGACGATGAATAATATTGAGTTTAAGCATAAAGTTCTAAGGAAACAGGGTAAATCAATCGATGAGGTTGTGAAGTTACACCAATTTAGATGGCTCGGATACGCGCTCCGCATGCCAAGTCACCAACTTCCACGACTAAAAATGTTTGCCAGCATAAGATTGGGAAACCATTGGGTGTGTGATCAGATTAAAACCTGTCATCAATCCATAAATTCGGTGACTGCTGGTTTGAACCAAGTATGTAGGTGCTGACTGCATGGTGAGAGTCATCGAGATGCAAAGAAATAATGATTGGAAACTTAAAATTCTTCTCAGTGGCACAGATGCATTTACTGTGTGGTCTCCTAGATCCACTAAATCCTCATTATTTTCCACATGCATATTAAGTTTTCTGTACATTTCCATTTATGATGTTGTATGGGTTGTGGCAACTTGAACTGTTGAACCTATGCACAAATTTCTCCTTTGAAAACTCATTCACCCACTGTAAACCGATTGTATATAAGAATGTCACATCTGAATAGCATAGAGTATACCAGACATACCCGGAATCAGACGTATTTTGCGAATGTCTTCACATATAAAAGTAGGTTTACTAGATGCTTTAAAAGCAGCAAACCAATCTGCGTAAATTAAAGAGCTTTGGTGGACCATATGTATTAATACACATGCATCAAGGATGAATCTAATTGGTGACAGCAAAAACCCTCGACAGATGCACATGGTTGCCTTGCGATAAACTCCTAGATAACTTTGAGTTAGGTTGGAAAGTTTACCAGTGCCAGGTCTTGGCTACATACTCCTTTCACGTCAAATTTTGCCCTAAAAGTAAGTCAATTAGAGAACCACTCAAAACCAGGGGTAACCAGAGAGCAATTTTGTCCAAACATTGGAAACCCAATCAGTACGCACCCGTGAGACCACCTGCCTGTATCATGATCAAGAGTTATCAAGACAATCTCGAAATCTACATTTAAGAAATATGGCAAATGAGCGGTGCTGGTATATTTTCATTTCCGTAACTAATGAAAAATATGGTTCCGATTCACCTTATTCTCTCTACAGGCTAAAGTCCAATTAATTTTCTTCAGTTAGCTTCTTTAAGCTTCTGCATAGTGTAGGAAAAAATGTGTCATGAGAGTTTACTGATTATCTGAAAAAAGTGATCCACAGTGAAAAGGAGTCTAATGCCTGCTGTTTCAAAGCACGCAAACAATGCATATTTGCTTTACAAAAAAGATGTATATGCAAACCAGCCTCCCATGTTTGTTAACAGAATGAAAGTCACAAACCAGAGGAGTGTTCAGCCAGATAATTATATACGACTTCATTTTTAACGTTTCCACAGGAAAACACGATAGATCCACCAGGTGAATTAAGTTGCATGACATATCAAACCAAATGCATGAATAAATTAGGAATACGTTATTAGATTTTGATGAAGCTTTAAGCTTCACTCGGAATGTAAGGAACGGCTAATAACAATAATAATAATAATACTTTGATTGAACACTAGATGGTGTCATGTGTACAGTCCTTTGTTTGCTGAAGACTGAATTCTATCAGTCAAGTTTGCAATGTGACCACCGTGCTGGGTGGGCCGCCATCATGGTACACTCAGAATTGTTTTTATAAGACATTTGGGGACAATAGGCAGGAAGCCTTGGACCTAGGTTGCGAGCGTGTTATCACTCGTAAGCAAGGCATATCACCAGTCTTGAGGCAACTCATGTCCCTTCTGGGATTCGAACCCGTATAAGTGCTGTAGTCAGAAACATTGCCAATCACCATGGTGGTTACATTGCTAACTTGACTGATAGGATACAGTCGACAAACAAACAAAGGACTAGACTAATGAAAGTAGTTAGCGTCCAATCGAAGTATCGAATACAGTCCAACATGAGGTTAATCCCGAGGCCGAATAGCTCAGTGGTAACGACTCTGACTGCAACACCGGGTGACAGGGGTCTGAATCTCAGAAGGTACATAATTTTCATGAAGACTGCAGTTATGGCTTGCTGACGAGTGCCAACAAGCACATAATCTCGGTCTAAGGCTTCCTGTCAATTGTCTCCAAATACCTAGTAATAATGTTACTTTTGCAGGACAAGGAGTCAAGTCATTCACCAAGATATCTGACTAAATAAATTGCTCCTAAAATTCTAAAATTCGCAACCGTCTGATGACGCAATGAGAAGTTAATTCTGAAGAGGCAAGCCTAAACATTTTCTACTCTCGCTGCAATTTTAACGCACTGCTTAATTCCACGAATCAAAACAGAAAGCCTGAGAGCGTTTTGATATATACTAATGTAACGAATAGGAAAAATTTGGAAAATAGATAAAACAAGACATTGGGATATTACCCGAAGTTACCAAAATTCCCTTATAACCCTCTGAGACATTTATGTATATTATTGCCACGCTCCCCATGTTTATTTCGAGAAACATTTTTACAGAAAACACTGCATCGTTTTCACATCCACCAAAACCAAAAAATCACTGCGCATAATTACATTGCAATTATAAGCTTGGAAAATACAGCGACAAAAACTCACTTTCCTAATAAATATTTGAGCCCTATT